CATTGTACAGTGGCATTACGTGCCGTAATGTGCACCTCTGCCTACCCCTTCGGGGATAAAAGGCGTAATGTTATGTTATGTGTTTATGTTAAGGATTCTAATTATTTTAAGTATGATTTTTCGTTACGTTACATCTATGATCGAGTTATCACGATTTCTTATGCGCGATTTCTCTCTAATTAACAATTTGTAATTTAAATTCGATTCTATTTTATTCGGTATTTTATGTGAATTCTAATGACAGTTAACATTACTCTCCCCCCTATTTTGAGCCTCGCATTTTATCACCACGAGGCTCAAAATAGGCGGCATGGCATGTCCTTACATGCCATGCAAAAAGATTACCTTTGTTTACTCAAAGCTTTAAGAAGGTATAAGAGATGTAGGCTTGTTGCATAACTAGAAGGTAATCATTTTTTTTTTGCATTTTATAGAGTTCATTTTATAGGTACTTCTTCCTACTTAGTGCTAGTTGGTCTCCTTCTGGTTGGTACTGAAAAACTTCTTTTAATACTTTTTTAAGTTCCCTTAATATTTTTTGAACGCATTCACGTGGTTGTCCTAAGCCTTATTTAAATGTAACCGGCTGACGTCTACAAGACACAACTTTCTTTGGAAAACGTCTTGAAAAAATAAATGTTCTTTCCACATTTAGTTTACAACTACTTTCATTGTATTTTTTGTTTATTCGTACTAAGGATGACTGGTGTCTTGCACACCTCACCATTTATTTCTGCGAAATTTTAACGCCCGCAGCTTGCTGAGTTTTTATTTTTACGATGAATAATACTGATGAAGAACTAAAACATTAACATGAACAGGAGATTATAATTTTCTTGTTGTTTATTTAAATTCCTTACTCTTTGTAGGTTCCTTTGTCGTGGGTACTCTCAGGAATTTTGTAATTTATGAATTATTATGATCAAAATAAAAGCAGAAATCTATGTAATATATGCGGTTTATTTGATTCTGGGAATTAGCGCGGTGGATGGCCAACTGGCTGGCAACTGGGTACAATTCCTACGCGGAATTCTTTGTGATCCATAAATTCATTAATAAAAATATGTATTATAGTTTTTATGTTTTCAGTGGCTATCTCAGAAGTCATAAGACTTCATAGGAATTTTGTCCTAGAGTTTTTGTGAATAGCTATATATTTTTGTATTTGTAGTATTGTTTGAATTTGGGAGCTGAATTCAGATCACTGTAACCAGCTTATATAGAAATCCTTGAGAGAAGCCTGTTCGGGTCAATTCGAGTGTAGATATCTTTTGCGTTTATGATGATGATGATGGTGATTATGATTTAGAATGATGACTGTCATAACTGTGTACTATATATAACTGTTAAAATATGTGAATATTTTTTTAGATGGGCGAACCCAGAAAATATATTCGAGACCACTTGCAACCCCGGTTCTTGCAGGGATCCGACGAACTTAATAATTAAAAAAGTGTCAGATCAGGATGGGGGTCTATACCGATGTCGTGTGCATTATGTAACTAAGCAAGCTACTGATCATTTAATCGAACTCCGAGTAGTCGGTAAGTACTTAGGTGATCATTTTTTAGAATATGTTTTTTTCGAATATCTAATTTAATTTTACATTTCGCAGATCCTCCGGATACACCGACTATATTTGTGGATGCACAAGAATTTAGAAGAATAACTGTAGGCCCACTGACCATCGGCAGCAGTATAAATATAACTTGTAGTGTACAGAGGAGTACGTATCACAGTAATACTATTTTGGCCTGATCTATAGAATAGAATATAATAAACTTTATTGTACACCATTAGTAATAACATACAGAAAAGCACAAAGGCGGTCTTATCACTAACTATATAATGATTTCAATCAGACAACCTTTGGGTGAATATAATGAAAAATAAATATTTAGACGGCTTGTGTAACTACTAAGAAAATAAATAAATAAAGTACCTAGTACCTACCTCATAATACATACATACATATGTATGTATGTATGTACAATATACATACATATAAACATGCATACATGTCGCAGATTCAAATGGATTTGAATCCACGTGTTTGAGATGTTCGTCCGCCATATATATATATGTATATATATATATATATTATTCGGTCAGTGCGCACACCCGGCGCTGGCGACGTCTCGGGAGCAAGTGACAAAGAGTATATAAGTATGCAAGTGAGAGGTACTCAATTGACGTACACACTACTGACAGATTGAACTGACACATAGACAACTTAACTTCATAACAAACGAGGCTTGTATTTCCTTTCGAATAAATGAATAATTATTCATTCTCCAACATACATATTATACACATACATACACGCATACATACATAATTATTAATTAAACACCTACTTACACTTAAATATACCATAACTAGCTTTTTCCAGTTGCTTTGCCAAAAACTAATAACAAACAAAAAGTCAAAATTATGAAGCAAAAAGTAACTATATAGGTATTATTAGTACTGATAGGTTACCCACCCACTGATAGATTAGAAGTCGGCATTCTTGCTCATCGTTCCACCATTAAGTCGGTCGCCGCCGCCTTGTGCGACCTCCCGTGCGATAGCACCAGCGTGTCGTCGGCGTAGCAAGTTGTGCTAACGCCGCTCGGGAGGTCGGTGCGCAGCACCCAGTCATAGCCGATGTTCCGCGTGACATTTCTCACCGGTTCCACACGCCCCGGTGACCGGTGTAATTGACGGACCCGTCCGTCAGGTAGGCCTCGATTACACGACGGAGACAGGTATGCTGATGTCCAAAGACACCGCCACAACGACCTTACCCCTGGACACTGCAGTCCCCGTCGTCAGGTCTCTAACTCGCATGATGGCATCCACCGATGAGCGCCCTCTGCGGAAGCCGAACTGGCTGAACTGGCAAGTCCGGCCCAATGTCTTATCGACACTGGCAGAACATTCCACAACCTAACAGCTTGCACAGTGAATGACTTGCTGTAAAATTTTGAAAAATGCTGGGCCATATCCAATTTCAGATTTGCTGACGACCTTAGTAATCTCGAATATGCATCATTTAGGAACTTGAAACGTTCTTTGAAATAAGAGGGGTCAAACGGTTTGAACAGATCTATACTAGATACCTACGTATACCTAACTAAACAACGAACATGTGTGTCTCTACATACATCGAACATGTTCGAAAACAACACCAATAGGATTGAAACTGTCGGAAGAATTAAAATAAAACTATTTTTATAGCTTACAGCGTATAGTCACGGTAATATTATCATACAGTAGTGTAACTCGGCCGCCTGACAGGGTTAAATACCTACAGCCGCGCGGTACGTGAACATGCGTTAGGGCTGCCCGTCTCCAGCATTTTAAATCGATAGTATTATTTATTTCACTGTCAAAATCATTATAAATTACAATGTCGTTGTATGTCAATATTATGGAAATGTCGTCTGCAAATAGTATACATTTATCGGATATAATGTCAGGCAAATTGTTAATATAGATAAGGAAAAAGGGTGGTCCCAGGATACTTCCTTGCGGAGCACCACAGCTATTTACAAGATACTCAGACTTCACTTGTTTCAACTTTGCATTTTGCTCACAAGATATTTCGACACATTGTTTACTCTTCCTCTATGACTTGAAACAGTAAGCAGCCGGACGTCGTTGTCGCGTCCGCGGACACTGCTCATGAGGAAGTCCCTCTTTGACTTAAAACTATTAGAGCCGTTTTTCAGTGTCTTACTCGTATAAACCGGTATTTATGATGAAAACATTCAGATCTTTCCCCTAATTTTCTATCAATTCGTATTTAGCTCAGTAATCATCGTCAGCAAGAGATTCTAATAATATTAATCAATATGACGGCAAAACCAATTTCGGATCTGCACAAAGCAAATAATAACTAATAGTAGAATGTTGAGTGTCAGCAAACATTTTGCGACCGACCAGTCAGTGTCAGTGTCAGCGTTGAGGAAGCACAAAAACGATTATTTTACAATGGGAACTACACGAAATAATGACAAAATTTGCATTCAGATAAAGTAGTGTTCATCATCATCAACAGCCTATAAATGCCCACTTCTGATAAAAGCCTGGTTTTTTAACCAACCTGCATTGAGCAAGCATTGAGCAATACTATTTTTAGTGTTCATGTCAATAGATATATTGAAGTGAACACTACTTTGCGGAAATACTACATGACATTTATCATTTATAGGATTTTCAACTTAATTCACAAATATTGGCCACCATTCTCGTATGTAGCATGAGACTGTGTGTGTATTTTTATATCGTCACGCTCCAAAACTTTCACTTCGCAGATGAGGATCTTCGAAGTGAAAGTTTTCATTTCTTACCAGTCATGCTGTAAGTCACATTTAAACTATGTATATAAGAGGTGGGCCAATTGCCTTAGGTATCTCAGGTGCAATACCAAACTCCGAGATACCACTGAGATTTTTTCCGAAAAACCGGAACACGAACCCGAGACCTCTTGTTTGACTCACTCGACTAACTCAGATTTTTTTTAAATTTTGTGCGCCAATATCGATTGAACCCGTTTATTTTGCAGAAGATACTGATACCGAAGTTTATTGGCGACGCAATGGAGCTATAATGAACTCATTACAAGTAATTACAACTTACAACGTGGTGCAAGCAGAATTATTTTTAGAAAATTTAACGAGGAACGATGATAAGACGCGGTTGGAGTGTCTCATTCAGACAGCTGACGTGTCAGAGGCCGTTATTAGGCCTTTGGTCGTACGGATGATTTGTAAGTATCACTTAGTTTAGATAGATGCGTTACATACAAACATTATAATATCTATTTAACAAACCTTAAGGATCAGTTCTGTTCTTAGGCGAGGGCAAAGGTGGTTCCACTATAAACTGCGTCCGTTTTTTGCTTTCTGATTTTATTGTGTACCTTTCAAATGTGTAAATAATGCGTTACCTACTTGATTCTCTCTGAAGTCACTTGTTTTTTGTATAAGGATAAGCCCGCAAACGAGCAGACGGATCACTTGATGGTAAGCAATCCTTTTGGGGGTGGGTTAAGGATTTGAGGATTTTGGCCCTCTGGTAATTTCACTAACAATGTTTCTATTACCGGTCGTACCTAAGATAGGGGGTATAATCACGATAATCTATGGTTCGAGGCACACTTGCATGTCGTGTCTTGTCGCGAACGTAGCGTAAAGCGGTTTGTGTCTTGTATTTCTGCTTTAACTTCGTGTTTATTTTGCAGTGCCCCCCCTGAGCGTTTACATCAAGTTAGATGGCAACAGGAAGTTTGAAGTGGGAATTCCTCGCGTAGTCGAGTGCTTGGTGATGGGTAGCTTCCCAGTTCCCATCATCCATTGGACGTTGGGGGCCTCATTGCTAACAGCTACCGATTATGTGGTAAACTTATTTTTTTTATATCAAGCTTTATTCGTATTCTAGCAGACTCGGTCAACCATTTTAGACTTCGATTTTTTTCTCCACATCTTTATTGACTTTTCTTACTTAACAACTTTCTCTTAATAATAACACTCACCGAAAAATAATCAGCGAAATCGATTCAGCAGTTCGTCAGTGAGATTTGCTCTTAGCAATATATTTATCGATTAATATTTATATTATATAGTATTTTTCTATTATAAAATAAAAAATAAATAAAAATAAGCCTTTATTGCTGTAGTTACAATAACAAAAATTACAGTTGTAACCAAAGTTGCAACAGAGTTAAATAAACAAACTTAAAAACTACTCTAACATTATCTCAGCAATTGGTTTCTCTCCTCTTACAACAGCTTGTCTTTCGACAAAGGCCTCCTCTAAGGATTTCCACTTGTTTCTGTCCTTTGCTACACGTAACCATTCTGGCCCTGCTACTCGTTTCAAGTCGTCTTCCCATCGTTTATACTGTCTTCCTCTACTTCTCCTGCGGTCTCTAGGGTACCATTCCGTAATTATTCTGGTCCATTTCTTTCTCTCCTCTCTCAGCATATGTCCTGTCCAACGCCATTTCAGCGTTCTATATACTGATAGGACATTTCCGAATTTTTCTATTACATAATATCTAATTAATAGCTTTGTAGTATGTAGTATATAAATAAACAACATTGTCGTTATTATATTAAAAGCCGTTGCCCGCGACTTGGTCCACGCAGAAAGACTTCTGGCAGAATTTAGGCTTTTGAATTAGACATTACCAAGGGACATTCCACGGTAACAAAAAAATTACCTCAGACTTGATTCAGTACTTAGGTTATACTTATGGTGAAATGAATTTATTTTCGTGATTTCAAAAAATAAACATTCCCAACAATCAGGTTTCAACCCGTACAGTGCTCGCCTCGTGAGGTTTCAGTGATTAAAACTATTCTCTCTCCTTTCCCGGGTTGCAAAACTTATTGTACCCAATTTCAAACAAATGGATTCAGTGATTTAAAGATACAGTGTCCCGGAATATTAACGCATATCCCTGTTGACGTGTGATTTTCGGAATAAAGACTATTATACTTCATTTCTTAGGTTAACACCTAAGAAACAAAGTATACCTAGTAGGTAGGTAATACCTACCTACTTAACTATCGTTATACCGATTTTCTACCCATTTCAAAAAAAAGGAACAGGCACTATATTCAGATGATTATTTTTTTTTGTTTGTTCACCATTTACTTCGCCATTTATGAACCGTTTTGTTTTGTTTGATTTTAATCAGGTTAGGATCTGATGATGGAATCCTAGGAAAACCAAGGGAAACTTTCGAAAATTAAAGGGGCGTGTACCTAATACGACTATTATGTTACTCAATAAAAAAATTTGAACATTAAAATTTGATAAGCCTCTCGAGTCGATCTAATGATGGAGCCGACAAACAGTCGAGGGAACTCCTCAACGGTTTATAAGTAACTATCTTGTGTTACTTGATTAACTTGTATTGATGAACGGGTTTGTGCAGCTTAAAATAAAAATTACAAATTAAAAACTGCGTTTAAAAAACCGACTTCAAAAAATTAAAAACAAACAAAATCTATTATTAGTACTGACAGGTTCCTCCTTTTGCAAAGCAGTCATGCTAGCTAAGGAGGAGGCGGGACGCGTGAGGCAGCGAAGCGCTGCCTCCTCGCAATCCAGCCATCGCGAAGGGGGTCGATTTCATATTTCGAATTAAAATGACACTTTTTTGTTTGATTTCTTAAATACCCGTTTCTTGGGTTACTAGTGGTGTAACCTCACTTTGTGAGGTTATATTAACATAAATTAAATAAAATAACAATGATTTTTCAATAAAAACTATAAAAAAATTGAAATTTGAGTGACATGAATGAGTGATGTTGTTACACTAATGAAATTATCTAAAACACTAATGAGATTAGATTTCCACTAATGATAATAAAAAAAAAACAACTGTAACCACTCATTTTAATAATTTTGCAAAGAAGGAACGGGGTGGTTTTTAGTCAGTAAGAGTCTGACACTCCCTTCCGCCTCACCCAAGCGGGAGCAGTCATTCGATGATTTTCCGCCTTTAAAAAAAAAAAAAAAAAAAAACAAAAAAAGTACTGACAGGTTACCCTCCTATTGATAGGTTAGAAGTCGGCGCCATAAGTTCTATACAAAATTAATCATTAAAACCTTAATAAATACCTAGTATTAAGATGTTGGCAATTTTGTGACTAATAAGTTATATCACCTAGCCTATATGTTGACCCGATCTGTCAGTAATAATCATACAAAATTTGAAGTAGATCCATGCAGTAATTTTTGAGATCATCCCGGACATACCTACATACAGACAAACAGGTAAACTATCTAAAGTTCATACTTTGGCTCCAGTATCACACGCCCAATTCTTTAAAAAAAATATTCAATGTAGTGGTTAATCGTTTTGACTTTTCTACGATTTTATTATACCTCTATGTTGTGAAATGAATTTATCGTGGTTTTAAGAAATAAGTAATCCCGCAGGGATTTTATTAGTACAGTGCCTGTCCCCATAAGGTTTTCGTGATAAAATGTATTCTATCGACTATTGTTGTATACCAAATCTCTCTAAAATAAGATATATGGTTAAGAGATAGAGAGTCTGGCTTTAACGCATGGTTCCCATCCACGTGGGACTTCTGTGATAAAAACTATCATACATCGTTTCTAAGGTTTCAAATTATCGTTTTACCGAATCTAACTCAAAAGTATTCAATGATTTTAGATTCATTCGCTAAGAAGATGTATACAAACTATCATGTCCTATTTTATTCCATCGGAGGTGGAATAAATTTATCAAATTCCTTTCTTAGAAGATGCCTACGTCATAGTAGCTTTATGCATGCAAAGTCTCAGCCCAATCAGTTTAAAAGTTCAAATTTTCATCCCCAATTTTGTCTTCTTGGGGGTAGAATTGATCAAAATCTTATCTTATGGGATGCTTTCATCAAAACTTTTACCTGCATGCAGAATTTCGACCTGGTCGATGCAAAACTGACAAAACTTCGTATAAACTTTCATCCCCTATTTTATCCTATTGGGGGGTGGACATTATCAAAATCTATCTTATGGGATGCCTACATCATAACATCTACCTGTATGTCAAAATTTTACCCGATCTGTGTAAAACTGACAAAGTTCCATACAAACTTCCATCCCCTATTTTACCCCCTTGGGGGCGTTTATCAAAATCCTTTCACAGCGGATGTGTACGTCATAACATCTATCTGCATGTCAAATTTCAATCTGATCGGTTTAAAACTGACAAAGTTCCATACAAACTTTCATCCCCTATTCTACCCTTTGGGGGTGGAAATTATCAAAATTCTTTTTTACAGCGGATGCCTACGTTATAACATCTACCTGCATGCCAAATTTCAGCCTGATCCGTCCCGTGGTTTGGACTGTGCGTTGATAAATCACTATGTCAGTCAGTCACCTTTGAATCATAGATGATAGATAATGGTCATGCAAACTAAACGTGTAGGTATGCCTAGAACAGTTTAATCTGTTGAAAATATCTGCTCCAAAATTTTGTGGCAAATTTTCCAACTTGTTTGCACTTCTACCTCACTCATACATACATACATACACACATTGCAATATAAAAAAGTTAAAAGTTGTAAAATACTAAAATAGTCAATTTTAGTTTATTCGAAGTTTTTTTATTGAGGGGAAAAATGATCCTATAAATTCTCCCGCCTGGGTGAGGCGACCACGAGTGTCACACTCTTAATGAGTTAAAATCAACGCGCTCTTACTTCTGTTCTTCAAGCCGAAGCCTTGCAACCCGTTAAGTCCTCCACGGCTCTGCATCGGGCATCGGCCCTACTAGGCCTCAATTTTGGTGGTCTGATGGCAGTGATGGCTCTTTATAGCGTGCGCGAATGCGACGCACCGTACACACGGATCTGGTTCTCTTCGGGCGGCGAACTACCCTTGCTCGCTGTCCGCAGGCCCGTACTTATAGTGGCCGGAGTTCATCTCGCAATCCCCGACGCCTGGAGTGTCTCTCGCGAAAGGTGAGGCATGACGAGGTAGTTCGTTGGCTCGAAGCTAAGAAGGCGAGGCGCTCATGCGCCTCGCCTTCTTCTTAGCTAGCATGACTGCTTAGCAAAGGGAGAAGACGGCATCCCAGTCCTCCTCGCTCCTATCATGGCCCGAGCCAGGACCGGACCCGAGAAGTCGCCGTCGCCGATCACATCCCTGCGGACATAGCGAGGCGGTCCTCCAGGCAGCCCTCGCAATAATCACACCCGGGCGGCACTGAAGTTCACCGCTTCCCTGGAGAGCGTCCAATATCCACGGATCATCCGAATCTCCATAACACTCTAGGACGTGAGCAGCACTCAAGCTGTCCGTATCAGATTCGGCACAGGGGCGCTGTATTCGACCATAGACCGGACTATCCCCGCGCGTACAAACTCCATCAGGAAACGTTTCCCCTCAAGGTTGGGCAGGAGCTGCTTAAACACAGCGCCCTTCCGTTCCAACTTAGGAGCCAAACGTTGGAAGTGCCTAGAGGTGGTGCGTGGGGCGTTCCCACGGCCATGAAAACACACGGTCTCGGACTTTATGGAGGGCCACCTCTTGTCCCAGATACCTATATCCTTACTACAACTGTCGCAACCGCTCTTGCCATTCTTGCCAGAAAGTTGAAGGCGTGTCTATCTAGACACGCCTTCAACTTCAACACGGACGTAGTGGCGGGGTATCTACCCCGCCACTACGTCCTCACCCCTGAACACTGCAGTCCTCGTCGTGAAGTGTCTTACACGGATGTTGGCGTCCACCGTTATGTTTATTCCTAGCTAAAGTGAGAACATGCCTGTTCGTTGCAATGTTTGTTAATTGAACACCAAAGTATCGACGTATCGTACCTACCTATATTTTCGAATGTCCAACGTACTATACCTATGTATGTCATTGTAAAATTTACAAGTTTATGTTAATCTGAGTTATTAATTTATCATTTCATTTCCAGATTTTTAACGATGGCAATACGACGTCCTCTACCCTGACACTGTCAGTAGTGCAGACAGATAAGGAAAAATTGTTGACCTGCCGCGCTCACAATATGCTAATACCCACAGAGCAATTTGAAGATAAAGTGAATATTACAGTAGGCTGTAAGTAATAAGTAATATACTTTTGTTTTCACACTATCATTTTGAAAGACAAATATAAATTGTAATACTATGTAGTGACAAGGATTGAAAAATGTTACGATGGTTTAAACATGTAGAAAGAATGAATCCTAAAATTATTATGAAACCAAGGGAAACTTCCGAAAATTAAAGGGGCGTGTACCTAATACGACTATTATCAATAAAAAAATTTGAACATTAAAATTTGATAAGCCTCTCGAGTCGATCTAATGATGGAGCCGACAAACAGTCGAGGGAACTCCTCAACGGTTTATAAGTAACTATCTTGTGTTACTTGATTAACTTGTATTGATGAACGGGTTTGTGCAGCTTAAAATAAAAATTACAAATTAAAAACTGCGTTTAAAAAACCGACTTCAAAAAATTAAAAACAAACAAAATCTATTATTAGTACTGACAGGTTCCTCCTTTTGCAAAGCAGTCATGCTAGCTAAGGAGGAGGCGGGACGCGTGAGGCAGCGAAGCGCTGCCTCCTCGCAATCCAGCCATCGCGAAGGGGGTCGATTTCATATTTCGAATTAAAATGACACTTTTTTGTTTGATTTCTTAAATACCCGTTTCTTGGGTTACTAGTGGTGTAACCTCACTTTGTGAGGTTATATTAACATAAATTAAATAAAATAACAATGATTTTTCAATAAAAACTATAAAAAAATTGAAATTTGAGTGACATGAATGAGTGATGTTGTTACACTAATGAAATTATCTAAAACACTAATGAGATTAGATTTCCACTAATGATAATAAAAAAAAAACAACTGTAACCACTCATTTTAATAATTTTGCGATGTATATTTATGAGAAAATTAAAATAAAACTATCCCAAATGGATTAAATCAGTTTAATGTAACAATCATATAACCTTAACAATCGTAAAAGTATTATTTGGGTGCATATATAATTTTTCAGTCTTCTTAGAGGAACTTTTGGATTAAAATTTAATATATATGAAATAATCACGATCTTCAAAGAAATATATAACAACTAATCGCAGTCTAAACACATAAACTAAAATTATCCGTATAATTAAAAACAGTAGTTTTCTTTAAACTAAAAAATACTGAAGTATTGATTCGTTTTCTAAGTCTTCTATGTTATATTCAATA